AACAACACAGTTATGGGGAAGAATCCTGACTCGACATTTTCCCAGCAGATACATAGTCTCGTAGAAACCACATCCTAGTTCTACGCTTTGCTTCGTCCAGAGGGTCTGGACGCTCGGCTGTTGAGAAACGATTACTTCCTGGAGGCGTGGCCTGGTGAAGTTATAAACAATTAGGTCTGAATTCACCCAATCGCTAACCTTTGGCCGGGCGTATGCCATGGGGAACAGGGCCAAAACATATTTGCTTCCAATAAACTGTCTTGAACATTCTTCTTGCTCCGATTTGATCTGTTCCATATTTGGAAGTGTGGCCAACACAAACTGAAACGGCTTTATTCACTTCCTCCGCTGCCATCGCTAAAACTACAATCTATGCAGTCTACTATTCTAAAACAGCACAAAACATCGATGTCATCATTCATAACTCCTTCTGTTCACTGATTGGCCCAGCAGAAATTGTGCCAGAGAAATCAAGCTCAATGGGAGAAAGGAGACGAAAACAGAGAAATTGTGTTGGGAGGGCATTGACCATTCTCAATAAGGACAGTGAGCCAGTACTGGTCATTTCTAAGGAAGTTGGCTGTTTGATGTGATGTGTCCGTTCCGCTTCATCATAAGACTGAGGAAAAGAAAGCATTGTTGAAAAAAAAATTGCCACAGCCTGGAGAGAATTGTGAAACAAAGTTCTTTCAAGAGTTTAAAGGAGTCCAAGACTTGGACTGTGTCAGCTGTCAGGAGCCAACAAAGAACATGGACTCCTCTGCAATAATATTCGTGTTAAGGAAATGAAGCTCTCAGAGTGTGGATGACCAGCTGACACACAGAACCCAAAGTAGTTTGAGGTCCAGTGGGAAGTTTCCACAGACAGTGATGGTTTAGGTCATCTGGTTCTGGTCCACTGGGTTTGATCAATTCCTGTGTCAAAGGTAGGACATTTTGGAGAACTTGATGCTTCCTTGTGCTGACCAGTTTCATGAAGATGCTGATCTCATTTTTCAGCAAGCCTTAGCACGCTGCGAGTGGTACGAGTACACGATTTAACCACCATGATGTTCATGTACTTGACTGGTCATCAAGCTGTCTGCCCCAACCCTCTCAGAGAAACCACCAAATTCGGTGTGGTACATGGTCATTATTTTTTGCAGGCACAAGTTTCTGTATAAAACTTGTGCCTGCATTTGAATATCGTTTAAATTTTAAATTTTAAAATATTTTGGCAAAACTGAAATTTGGGTTTTCATGATCAGACTTGCAAGCCATTATCATCAGCATGGACAGAATGAAACACTGGAAATATTTCACTCTGCTTTTATAAAATGTACATAATGTACATGTTACAATTTTTAAATGCAATTAACGTAATTGATATAATTTCTTGGAATTAAGTTAGAACAAGATAAAATGGAGGGATTTGGATGAACTGGTGCCCTCTTGTGTCCAAATGTAAAATTACTAGATTGAAGCTGAAAATTCAACAAAGTTTTGGGTGATGAAGTTAAAGACATCTTATTGTGGAAAAAATAGATCAAGAAATAAAAAAAGAAAAAGAACTGAGAAAATTAAAATAATATTAAAAGAAAGCTTGTTGTGATGTCATGCCAGCTGATTCCTCCCAGCATTAGTTAGATAAATAACATGTTCAGAACTCTCCCACATTCAGAAATGTTATTGCTTTGTGTGCATTGTGTGATTGCTTCACATCTTTTTTTTACCTGGCTGAAATGATTCTGGAAACCTCCCACAACTCATCACCTGACACCCTCCTGAAACAAATGCAATCTGTTGCTTTGTTGGCATGGCAACCTGGCAACTTGTGTAAGAACAGCGTGCCTTTTCCAACAAAAGGCAGTGTGTGCAGAGGTCTTTGTGCTGCGATGTGAGACACACGCGCGCGCAGACACCCCCACGCACACGCACACACACACACACACACACACGCACGCACACACACGCACAAACACACACAGTTCTACATTCCTCAGACAGCCTGGTTGTAACAGGCGTAAAGCCATGGAATCCAGTGGAACCCAGCACTTCCTCTACACTCTTCAGATACAGCTGAGATATGCAAACACCACTACAGTAACTACTCTAATCACTGATGGTGATGATGCAACATACTGACAGGTTTCTCAGTGTGATACACGCAAGGCGACAGTTTTAGATGCGGGAAACAGGACGCAGATCAGTCCAGCCAACAGGGGGCAGAACTGGACAAAACACCCGGTTTAAATCTACTCTGTATTCTTCCTACAAACATGGCATCTTCACATGTATATATTTTTTGGGTTTTTATTCTGTTTTTTAATTTACTTAGTTTGTTGGCCTAGTGTGAAGGACACATTATCCTGCTGTGCTGATAGTTCCCACAGGTGTTCCCATGCTGGTTTCATGACCGTTATCTAACAAGTATACAAATATAGAGTAATGGCCTTCGGCCCTAGAGTAAAGGCCTGGGCCCTAATGTCATCAGCTGGACAGGAAGGTCTTGACAGCGAGAGCTTCCTTTCTTCCTTCCTACCTTCCTTCCTTCCTACCTTCCTACCTTCCTGCCTTCCTGTATGTTTGTGATGTCAGATCTACGGCTTGAGTCTGGAGCTGACAGCAGCTGCAAGGATTTTCTTCCTGACATGCAGAACCGTCATGTTCAGCCTGGTTTTGTTGGAGTTCCTTCCCGGCTGCTGGAGGGCAGTTCTCACATGCCAACTGTCAGTGACACTGCACTGCCATGACAACAGCACTCATGTTTAAAGTGTGAAGGATATTTGCCGTCACTGTGATTTTCCCCTCTGAAGCAGCGGCTCAGACAGCAACACAAAACCATTCAGTGTGAGAACATGATTGACTCCATATAAGTGGGTTATAATGTTTCCTCACTTATGGCCTCCCAGTGGGTCAGACAACCTCAGAGGAGCTGAAATAGTATATTGAAATATCATATTTTCAAATTCCATATTTGAAAATAATGTATTTCTTTGATATGTTATTTTAAACAACATTATTTTCTTGTGTTTGTGGATTTATCTGGTTTCCCTTAATGTGAACATCTTCTCCAGACCCAACATTGGTTGTATTCCCATTACAACTGTCTGGAAGTCTTTGTAATTACTCTGCTAAAGTCAAAAGAACACAATTTCACAATTGCGATGCTTCCATTAAATAAAAAATAAAATTAAAATCACACGTGAATAAGAATATTACAAAACATGGCAGCAATGTATGTAAACAGTTACATAAAATATATCCATAATTCAGCTGTAGTGATAGAGCTCATCATCTATGAGCCAATCAGAGGGAACGCCAGCATATTCAGGCATTGGAGCAGCAAGTTTCTTAGATTTGGGAGTGGCATTTTGGGGAAATCGTAGTTGCTGATGTTACAGAAGAGCTATGGATTCAACACACAACATTTTATGAACTGTGACAATGTGAGAGCTCTGCTGGAGACAGCTGCTCATTGATAAAAACAAAAACAAACCATCTATTTCAATACAGTCAAAAACCCACCTCATCCTAGATTATTGGAAAACATGTTTTTCAAAATTGCTGTGTTTCCATCAGGCTCTTTTTTGTTTTGTTTTGTTTATTTTGTCATTTCAATTTGTACAATTTTATGGTTAGTAGAAATGCAAGCAATGCCCTCCATTAAGTAAACTGGTCCACCACACCTGAATCAAGTGGCTAAAAGTTTGTTGAAGCTGAGACACATGTAACACCTGCTGGAGTTGAAGACCCCTGCACTGAGCCACACATTTTTAATATATAAATGTTGGTGTAATGAAAAATATGTTTGCTTTAGTGAATCAGCATCAGTTCAAATGATTTTCTGCTGTAAAGCAGCAACTGGAAATGTAAAGTAGTAGAAAAAGACTGAAAAAAATCATTTTGTTTTAATGAGTAATTTCCACATTTAATAACTTGAATACTTTTTAGTTAAATATTAGGTCATCTAAAGTATATAATAGTTACTCTTTTAATACATTTGTTAACATTTTGATACCACAAGTACATGTGTTTAATAATCCATGGTATCTTGGATTGTGGCTCTTTTGGTCTTCCATAGAGCTGCTGTTGAGAAAGCTGCAGCTAATTTAGAAGAGCTGTCAGATCTGGACTGGACTCCTTCCACTGTGATCATGCCCCAGTGGACACTCCTGGGTGACCATCAGCTCATCAGCTCCTGAGGTTGTCTGACCAACTGGGAGGATTTCAGCTGAATCGTCTCCCAGTCTGTTGGGAGGTGAGTATTAGTTTAGTTTGCACAAATAAAATGCATTTTTCTTCATCTTAATTTTATTCATAGAGCCTGAAGGGTTTTTTTTAACTCAGTCTTCAAATCTCTTGTTTCTTTAAGCTGGTCATGTTACTCTGCTCCTGTTTAATCAGTTTTTTCACACAATGCTTAAGGGGAAACTCCTTGAGCTCTGCTGTGCTCCCTGGATCAGGTTGGTAGGTAGAGTTGATCTCCTGGATGCAGCTGAGCTCACAGAAGGCCTTCTCTAAGAAGCTGGTTTCACGTGGTGGTTTAGATGTTTGTTCCCGTTGTCTAGCACCATATGAAATCAGTGTTCTTGGGGACAGAAGGATCACTCTGGCAGCAGGCAGGCAGCCCAGCGCTGGCCTTTCCCTCTATGTCGCCACTAAAAGATAACTGATTTCCTCTGGTGCTTAGAGCCATCTGCAGCCTTCTAGCACCATTTGAAATCGGTTATGACACTGTGGATCACTGCATCTGATCTGAGGCTTAGCAACTCATCTGGAGACGACTGGAAAGAAGCACTGTTGCATGGATTTGTGTTTTGACCTTTTTTTTTTATGTGGCTGCAGTTTACAATATTTGCCACCAGAGGTGCCAGAGTTCACAAAAATACAGGGGCCCTAAAACCCAAATGTCATTGTGCTGCTCCTTTGTATATGATAATGAAGTTATGATGGTAGCGGCTGTTTAAAAAATTAAAACCGACTGGGAAACGGTGGAACTGTTCTGGAGTTCCAGTTACCAAGAGGGAGCAATCGGAGACCAACATTTTTTTAAATTAATTTTATTCACGTTTTAATGTATCGTTGGTTCCAGTAAGGATTAAGAGGGTGAAAGAACCTTGAATATAATATCAAACTGACCTGGAGGGAGTTGCTTCACTGTATGAAGACAATGGACCATCTATCAGTGAATGCAGTTCAATCACATATTCATTAATAATGGAGCATCCTGGACTAGGGCTGAAATGATTTATCAGTTCCATCTATTACTAAAACAGTTGTCAACAAATTTAGTTGTCAATTAATCATTAACTGGAGTAAAAGTACCTCTCAAATATGCCATTTGCTGAAAGAACAGTCAAAGCAGTAAAAAGGGCAAAACGGCAAAAAAAAAGAAAAAAAAAAGAAAAGAAACCCATTTACATTTCAGATAATAATAAAAAAAAGTAAATCTGTTCTATCCAGAAGTGGGATAGTTTTAGCTCTCCCTGGTTAAAAAGCTCATATTAAGCAACTTCTTTCTATCCAATTATTAAGTGTTTGATCCAAAACTACTCACCAGATCCGCTCTACACCGTATTGTTTTTAGCTACAGATGAATTCTGTACAAATGACCAAGCATTCACTAAGGAAGTGTTATTGTAATAAAATGTTAATTTTCTTTACTTAAAAATGAAAACTGTTTATTTGCAAAGTTTTTTTTAATCAAGTTTGGTCTGTAATGGGTGCTTGTATGTGTGTTTGAAATAAATCAAATATTTTAATGAATTATTAAAAACGTATTAAAAATTAAGGCTGCAAGTATTGCAATATATATGCTGTTTATGTTTTTTTCCTATGATGTTGACTTTTTTTGAAGCCATGCTTTTACTACATGAACTGCGATGCTCATTCCCATTCATTGTTTGTTCACCTAAAGTAACTGATGAAGGCAGTGTGAATAAAACAAGAGGATTAAAACATTTCCTCCTCTGCCCTGCATGTTTTAGATGTTTCTGCTCCAGAATGATTCAAATGACTGTATGACCTGCTCTGTGCTGCAGGAGCCCATTAGAAGGGAAACACCTACAACATGCAGGGAGTAGTCCCTCAGGACCAGGATGGAGAACACACACTGTAAAGCAATTAAAATAAAATCTAGAGAAAACTTAATCATTAAAATATCAACAAACATCTAGTGTCAGCCGCTAGCTGTTAAACGGCTACCAAATACTAAGATGTGCTTGTTAAAATGAAAATCGTTGTGACATGCACCAAAACTCTCCAGGTTGATAATCAAACCTCAGACTACTGCAGTCAAGCAACATTGTTCATCTGTCTTCAGTCAGAGGTCTCTTACGATTTGTTGTGAGACTGACTGGTGCAGGAAATCCTTCCTGCCCTCAGCACCACCATCCATTATGACTGGTTGAAGACAGTTGGATGAGCTACAACATTGAATGTCTTTTTGGGACAAAGTATTTTTTTTAAACTGAACTGAATCTACATAATGGTAATGTATATAGAAAAGGATCCTCATGTTACATTTCATAAATTTATTGTGGTTTGGTTTTCTTATATACATTTATACATCCATATAAAAAATAAAAAGTCAGGTCAGGTGGAACTGTTGAACTCCTCGCTGTAGCCTGGCAGCACAGACAGAACTACACTCTTAGCACCTGCAACAAAACAAACACAGAAATGACCGTCAGTTTTTTATCCGTGAACATGTGCTGGTGTCTACTTTCAGCAGAAAAACACTACTTTTGTCTCAAAGAGTAAAGAACAACAGTCCTGGCCAAAAGGTGTTGTGAAAAATGATCAACTCTGAGGGTAAGAAAGAAAATTCTGTAAAGCTTTATAACATTAATACAATAACATACTATTTCTTACAGTCAAACAGATACTCATGACTGTAAAAGTATGCAAGCATTAAGAAAAGCTGAACAAGATCATATTAATCAGATCCCAAAACCAAATTACATGCATGTAGTCACTGTAAAATGTAATTTATAGTCAGTTTTCCACTATCTGCTGCATGCTTTAAGATGCCAGTTTAGGCTTAAATAGCTTCAAAAAACGCCAACTGCTTTTAGCACAGCTTTAAAACAACAATAGTCTTTGCCAGTGTCCCTTCATATTGTTTTTTTATAGCAGAAGTTATTATGCATTCAAAGTAAATGACCTGAGCTGGCAAGGCTGTCATAAAACTGCTTTATTTCCTCCGCTGTGGCAGGTGGAACTGCAGGTGTAGTCTGTCTTGAATTCTCATTGATGGTCTGAAAGGACACACACCATGTTCGTATGTCACACACAAATCATTTTCCCGATCCTTTAAAGGAAACAGATCTGCACCTTTTTCCTCTTATTTGGGTATGAAAAGTTGACGTCACGCGCAGGTTCGACACTCCGCCGGCTACGTGGAGAGTTTGGGAGGGCAGGGGACGACTTCTCCTGCTGTATGCGCACACCTTGAAGAAAACCCCCATCAGAGCACTGCGTGTAAATATTCAGATCCATATATTTATATATGTGTTTTAAAGCACTGCTGGGAAAACAGCAACTTACATGCATCAAGTGCAAACAGCGTGGCGGCAACATGTGAACAGACCACATCTGAACTCGCCATACATGTGCAATGACCAGAAACGACGAGGCCACTGGGTTCGATGATGGTCCACACAGGATGAGGATTCTCAGTGAGGCCTTCAAACTGGATCACCTGACAGGAAAACAAACGAGCAAAAAGGCTTTTAGTGGGACATTTTATACTGGTAAGAGTAGATGGAAGAAAATGACCACATAAATTCTTCAACTTAATTTGGAACCAACAGGCAACACTTGGGACACCACTGAGTGGTCCAACAGGACATTGTTCCCAAACACTTATCCAAACTGGTTTTGGAATGAATAAAGCTGCTAACAGACATGTTTGTGGACTGGAGGAAGCTGCAGAACCAAGAGAGGACACACACACACTTTTCCAGTCTGCCTCACCTTGCTGGTTATGATGAACTTGTCTTTCCTGATGCACAGCATCAGAGATCTGACCCAGCCACGGAGGAAGAACCGGTAAGCGTCCAGGCTCTTGTATGCCTTCAGTGCGCCTGCGCTGTACCCTGCATGCGACAGTAACAGTTTACAGACTATCTGCCGAGTATACAGTCCACTATAGGAGCTAACGTACCTGGTACTTCGATGAGAAACATGAATATATCAGGGTAACACAGGCCTGGCAGCTCCTCGATGCTACACTCTCTGGCGGGTTTTTGTTGTGTTGGGGGGATTAGATACGGATCTTCACCCACAGCGGAGATTTTATCATCATAGCGTCGCCTGGCAACACTGTTCAGTCTTTGGTAGTAATCTGACTTCATAATAGTGTCAGACTGGCGAACCTTTTTTGTAGAATGTGGCATGACTTCCTCTGTTTTTTGTTTATTTTCTCATTTGCTTCTTCTTCTTTTGTTGTTATGGCGGCTGGCAGCCAACATTGTAGTAGTGCTGCCACCTACTGAGCTGGAATGTGGGTGGTAGCTTATATGAATAATGAAGTTACTCTCTATTTTCTTATTATTTCAAATCACATATCCCTTATGACATATCACTTACATTATACCCGATTTATTTTCTTTTCCCCTAATCTTTTTCCTTTCTTCTTTTTTATATAATCCCCCACCCTCTCTCTCACTATCTCACTCACCCTCTATCTTTCTCTCTCACTCTCTCTCTGGTGTTCATTGTCCTATTATTACATATGTCTATGATACACTTTTATTATTTTTTTGTGACTCTGTTTTCCATATCGTCACCATCCTAAAATAATGGCCTATGTCACTTATTGCCAAAAGATGATTTATGGAACAAAAATAATCACTTTTGGCAAAATCTCGGCCATTGTTTTAGGAATGTCTCGATATTTTTTCACTTATGTCTGACCTGTTATTAATCAGATTAAAGCTATTTGGCCCCGCCCTTCTAGAGAAGGTTCTTGTCTCTCATTGGTTGATTTTTGGTGTTCCGCCACGTTCGAAAAACTAGTGTCGAGCTCCTCTTGTTGTAGTATTAAGATATTTAAATAAGAAAGTTAAAATTGGGATGCTCATTAAAATAAATGAAATCGGTGAAGTAGAAAGCGCAATGTTGCCTTCAGAGAACGAGAAAGGGAAGGAACAAGCAGCCGACATTAAGGTGACGTTTTCCGCGGGTGAGGCAGAGTCCTTCAACAAGACGTTAAGACGGTGAGTTGCTTAAACTTGGTTTGTGGATCGAACCAGGTTAGAACCCCAGTATTAATAACGCAGTTCAATTATATGCAGACCAGCAGAATCGCAATGGCTGCTCTCGATTAAGAGGACCAATTCTGGCTAGACTAAGTGCAGTGGCGTCTCAATGCCACAAGATGGCAGCAGGAGACCACTGGGGATGCAAAAATAGAACGTGTATGTGCAATTAGTTTTTTAGTCTTTTACTTTTTATTTGTATTATTAATGGGATTATTGAGTTATTTGGCAGAAAGTAGGCTGTTCTTTTTTTTTTACTTTGGTCTTTTCAGTGTTAGTCCTATCTATGGAAAAACTGGTTAAAGTCCTGCGATGAAATGTGGAGGATGTAAAAAGTACATAAGAAAGATATTCTGGAGTAATTAATATCTTACAGTGCTTAACAAATCTGAGCCCATATATAGAAACCAAGAAAAAGAAATGTGTTCTATCGCAGATATGTCTTTTATAAGAAACGGGTAAAATGTCTGTGTTGCATGTGTATCGTTTTTGGCTCCCCTTCCTACAGGTCTGTAGTGAGACTTCTTCAAGTTGGATATTCGATATTCGAGCTCCGTGGAGTAAGCGGCATTTAGCTCAAGGTTGATCCGATTTATGAACGCTAATGTTGGCCAGCGGTACTCCTCAAGTGTGAAGCGGCTGGGAGGAGGATCAGTACCTCCAGATCCAAGGCCTTGAGCTGGAAGAGGGCAGAGTGCCTTATTTGGGTCAGGGAAGATTGTCCTGACACAAGTGGAGGAGTTTAAGTGTCTTAGCATCTTGTTCATTGTTGGAGTTCATTCATTTCTGTCTCTGTTCACCACCCATGTCTGTTAACCAGTTTCAGGACCCAACCAGAACCACTCATTGTAAATGACCTTGAGAAATAATGAGATTTGGTTATATATAAAAACAAGCTTTGATGCCAAAAGATGATCAAATTTTACAAGCCATACATGTCATCCAAATGGAACATCATGCTTCTTATGTTACAATTACTGTCCAACGCTGGGGCCAAGTGACAAGTGAGGCAAAGATTGTAGCAAGTTTAGTTTTTTATTCATCTCTGCAATCTGTACACTCCCTAAAGGGTACTCTAATCAGTTTCAGTCTGTTTACATATGACTGCCAGCAGTTAGATATAAACATGGTTATGTATGCTGCAGCGTGTTAAGAGGCTAAAAGAGATGGAGGAAAATACAGAATCCATAACATCAAGAATGAGGGCAAAATGGAACAGGAGATCAATAGACAGATTGGCGCAGAGTCTGCAGTAAAGTGGGCGCTGCATCAGTCTGTCGTGGTGAAGAGACAGCTGGATCAAAAAGCAAAGGTCTCAATTTGCCAGTCGATCTACGTCCCTACCTTCATCTACAGCATAGGTTTAAGGGTCTTGACTGAAAGAATAAGATCACAAACACAAGCGGCCAAAATTAGATTTTTCCATAAGGTGTCTGGGCTCTCCCTTAGTTATAGGGTGAGAAGCTCAGTCATCCAGGAGGGACTCAGAGTAGAGTCCCTCCTGGATGACTGAATATTTTTCACTTCGAGAGGAGCCAGCTGAGGTGGGTCAGGCATCAGATTAGGATGCTTCCTTGACGCCTCCCTAGTGAGGTCTTTTGGGCACGTCCCACCAGGAGGAGGCCCACAGGAAGACCCAGGACACGCTGGAGGGACGATGTTTCTCGGCTGGCCTGGGAACATCTTGGGATCCCCCTGGAGGAGCTGGAACAAGTGGCTGGGGAGAGGGAAGTCTGGGCCTCTGCTGACCCCGCAACCCGACTGCAGACAAGGGGAAGATGATTGATTGATTGATTGATTGATTGATTGATTGATTGATTGGTTGATTTTTCTTCAATGCTTATGAGTCATGTGACCAATTAACTCAAAATCAATGTGAAATTATTCTACTAGACTGGATAGGTGAGGCACAATCATTTTTATTCAATTTAACCCTTTTTATTCACAAAAGAATAAAAAGGGTTATTTCAGTGGGTCACATGAAATTTAAGCTATTAAACAGCAATCATATTTTTTAATTTGTAAATTTAAATTACGTAAAAAATGGAAAAAGATCTAAAATGGGGAACATGAGGGTGCCGCATCTCTAATAATTTGTAGAACAATTTCAAAGTGATTTTGAATTAATTGGACACATGTCTTAGAAGCTATTGCAGAAACATACTAAATTTTGACAAAGAAAATTGTTAAAAAATAAAAAAAAGCATTTAAATGAAAAACAAATGACTGTGCCTCATCTATACAGGATACTAAAACAATTTCACACTGGTTCTGGGTAAATAGGTCACATGACCTGGAAGCTATTGAAGAAAAACATTCAATTTTGCAAAAATAATTTGTTAAAAAAAGGAAACTGACTTAAAATGGAAACCAAATGACTGTGTCTCATCTGTACAGACTAGTAGAATTATTTCAAATGATTCTGAGTAAATAGGTCAGATAACTTGTGATCTATTGAAGAAAAACACTCAATTTTGACCAAAAAAAATTGTAAAAAAAAAAAAAAAAAAGGAAAATGGCTTAAAATGGAAAAGAAATGAGTGTGCCTTATCTATGCAGACTAGTAGAATAATTTCACACTGATTCTGGGTCAATAGGTCAGGTGACTTGGGATCTATTGAAGAAAAACACTCCATTTTGACCAAAACAATTGTTAAAAAAAAAAAGGAAGATGGCTTAAAATGGAAAACAAATGTCTGTGCCTTTTCTCTACTGATTTGTAGAATTATTTCAAAGTGATTCTGAGTAAATAGGTCAGATGACTTGGAAGCTATTAAAGAAAACATATTATTTAATATTTAAATCATTTAAAATATTCTATATGACTTTAAAATTTAATAGAGGATATTGTGTCTCATGTAAAAGCATGAATTAGCACTGACAATTAGTCAGTTGGTCACAATTCAAGGCATTTATTAACATTTGTTTACATTTGTTTGACAGAAGTGTTTGTTTCAGTAATTTGTTGACAGTCCCTAAGTGAACCTTCGAGTGTTCAGGCCACGAACGGTGGAGAACCGCTGGCCGACATTAGCATTCATAAATCGAATCAACCTTGAGCTAAATGCCACTAACTCCGCGGAGCTCGAATATCAAATATCCAACTTGAAACTAACTTCACTGCGGTGAAAAACCGACAGATCATTGCCACATTCGAATTGCTTAAAGAACTTGCATTTAATTTCATTCTTTATTCAGGGCAGTGCAGCTCCATACATGGATACAGCCAATTTCTCTTTTATTATTGGTCTAATCAGGGCCGATTTTAAAGTGGTAACACAATTCTGTAAAAACTCCTCCTATGCTGGATGCTCCTGAAGCTGACCTCAGTGCAGCTGAACCTCACCCTGACGTTCTTGAATGATTTTTGTTTAGCTGGAGTACATTTAGCTGCAATGTCCTGCATGTATTTATGTGTAGACATGAGAGTATTTTGGTAATTTCTTAATGATTTGTGGATTTTTTAAAAAGAATTTATCAATTTCATTTATAATGGTAAAAAATGGCAGTTAATTTTTTGGGGAAAAAATAATACTTGATCTAGGCACATAGAAATAGAGAATATGATTTCACGTGTAGACATGACCATTTGTCTACATATTTTGGTAATTTTCTGATGAATTGTGGTGTTTCTGTTAATTCGTTAATATTGTTAATTATGTTCTAAAATCGACTCATTATGCACACAGTAAGGATGGCTCCATGCTTTTTTTTTTTTTTTTTTTTACATAGCCAGCGCTAACAGGCAAGGATTTCAGTCTATTCATTAGATTGACGAGGTTTCTTCTGAACTCTTTGACATCTTCACATTTACAGATGATATGGTTAAGATGCAGATTTCTAATCAATGCACCAATCAGACTTGTGTCTTAGTGATATTGATTTTCTGTTTTCTTTAAACTTTGACCTGTTGAATACCAGTTTAACTGGTTCTATTTTTTTCTCTAAGGATTGCAACAAAAATATCTGCATGATGCACAGAGTTAGTACTTCCCTTCACTGTGTGTTGAAGCCAACAAAAAATGAATGTTACTGTAAGCTTTGTCCTACGTTTACCTAAAAGCATTTGTCCATCTAGCCTTTATCTGAATTTTGATCAATTGAAAATAGTGCATGAAAGTACATTCTGCTGACTGATTCAGCTTCTGTTCCAGCTTATTTGCATGGAAACGAACAAACTCTTGCAGAGAAAATGTGGATAA